ATATATATATATATATATAAATAAAATATTCTTATTATTCTTAATACTCCTGATGACCAAAAATGCTATCAATTTGTTCTTATCCTAAATTGCAAATCTGGAGTTTATTCTTATACCTATCGTTATTAAAATCTTGTTACTTAAGATAAGTTTTATTTTTACTTTACTAATATTTTTAACGATAAGAAATATAATCTTTTTGTAGGATCCTAAGGATACTCCACCACCTGTGCGTGTAGAGACTCGAGAAGAACGTTTGGAGCGTAGACGAAGAGAACGTGCAGAGCAAGTTGCATATAAGCTCGAACAAGAAATTGCAGTATGGGATCCAGCTGGTATTTCCAATGTTACAGCAGATCCCTTCAAAACTCTCTTTGTAGCTCGAATCGTAAGTTTATCATTTTTATAATAATGTGCAAGTATATAATTGAGTTGTTACATAGAATATATCTTAATGCCTCTTCTATTGTTTTTATAGAATTATGACACCTCAGAATCCAAACTGAGAAGAGAATTTGAAGTATATGGACCGGTAAAAAAGGTAAATTTTTTTTTAATAAACATTTTTTTAAATAGAGTCTATAATAAAAGCAGTATGAGTTTATTACCAAATTTTCACTTTTTGCAGATTGTGGTAACACATAATACAATTAATGGCAAGCCTAGGGGATATGCTTTCATTGAGTATGAGCATGAAAGAGATATGCACTGTAAGTAGCAACAACTTAGAAAGGTAAAAAAAATGTAAAAAAAAACTCTTATCGCGAAGCTCAATGCGCCCCTTATAGTCTGGAATATCATCTTATTTAGCGTCACTTCCAGCTTGATATTATGGGGGCAGGGCAATAGTTAGGCTACTCATTTTCATTGGTACTTAAACTAAACGGTACCGTTTGGGGAGGGGGGGCCCCCGCCATATGCACACCCATGCAGGAATACCGTTCTGTAAATGCATAAATATGGTAAAAGCGAAACGAACAAACAAAAACAAACGACGTGAACGTTTTATTGGCTATCTTTGATTAATGCAGTTTTTATCTTGTTCTTGGTACAGCGTGGTGGCCGCTGCCGGCAACTAGTGCCGTTCACTATTCCATGCAAAATCCCTGAACCTGCCTGATAAGATAGGTTTGTATGTGTGGTAAGATCCAACATACAACAACGTTTGTTAGCGTCTACTTGCTTATCCTATTTATCGTGTCTGATTTTGTCAAGTAACGCGCGATTTCAATCGGATTTTAATGGGTGTCCGAGATGACGCCTGCAAGATTCTTTACGGAATTTTCCGACCCGGGATTTTGACGTGTGTGTGTATATGTGTGTGCGTGTGTGTGTGTGTATACACATATATATGTACATGTACATGTGTGTATATATACATATATATATATATATATATATATATGTTTACATGTATACACACATATATACATATACATTAGACGACGTTTTTTCTCTTAGAAAGAACATGTCCCATTAAAACTGTTCATGGATTCATGGATCTGTGGATTCTAGGATTCATGATATTATAATCAGCTCACATAGAACATTTACAATTTATAAATTGTACAGAGTAGTACCTACAGATCTAAGAATTGCGTGAAAGTTAGCATTCTACATTGAAATTGATTGGTGGGCCTTTAGGATGAAGGTTCAGGGACATACATTATTCATTTATGAATGAATACAATGAACGTGTAGATCAGAATATTTTGTACAAATATTTCTCATCTCGTAGACACGAATAACAAAATATTTCACAATTGCTACAACTACTGTGTAATTCTGTGGCTTGAAGGTAGAAAAATTAAGATGTTATATGTAAAGAGGCATTTATTTCTACTCTCATGTCGTAGAATGACATTAGTTCTTCTAGTATCACAATGTTAATATCCTAAAATAGGATAAATTTACATCCGATGGTACGTATCGTTACATAAATAATTTTACATGAAACGTGTAATTAGCTTACGCGCTTTTTCTAATCATTTAGTGTAAGATGCATTTTTGGACTTTATTTCTTTATTAGTTTCTATACTATATAAGTAGACTTTTGAAAGTATCAGTTTTTCATGACGGAGTAAAAAATTCCATCCTAATTGCAATATAGGGATTAAATTAATTCTTGAAAAACCACATTGAAAACCATGATCGATAACAGTTAAATATATATAATTATCTTGATTTTTGAATGTGTGAAAATAGTCTTTTGTAGATATAAACACAAAATTTGCATGAAATTAGAGACGGAGAGCATAATATAAAATATGCGATGAAATTATTCGCTTAAATACTATTATAGTTCAAGGATGATTTTTATCCGATATCTACTGGAAAAAAGTGATTTAAGATTTAAAACAAGTCCTTGAACATATCAATTTCGATATAGAATACTAATTTCTTTTATTTGGCATCAGTCTCTTGTTTTATAATGTTACTTGCTACGAAAATGTGATTTCGGGTAACGCATACGTGCAACACTTGCGGATTGTAGAATCGCTGGATCCTAATTTTCTGAATCATCGAAATTGTCGAAACTTGGCCTTCGTTGATTCTAAAATTTTTGGAAAATCCAAGAACTGTAGAATACCGTAGGCTTTGATTTACAAAATTGGACCTTCGGATCTACGATCGTGCAATACGCGACGCGGGAAAAAAATGATCAATGAGCGATATTTTTTTTTCTCTCTCTCTCTCTTTTTCTCTCGAATCTCAAGAAGATATCGAATTAGTGAAGCGAGAATAGGCACATTTGCCTTTAACATTACGCTAAATGTAACCTATTGCTAGATCACTGTAACACATAAGTATATACGAAATGCGCACGGTTTGATCGTAAGTAAAACGAAATAAAAGCGCACCAGGTAAATGCAATGTAAACCTCTTCGGAGATTGAACGAACGAACGAACGAACGTATGAAGACTGGGCATCTTCGCAATGAGTAATCTCCTCGCGAGTCTCTTACGAGTTCATTTCACGATTAAATCATACCTCTAAGCTTTGTGTTAACTTCCGTACGTAAGTAGCCGCGGTAGGTATTTTTTGTATTTGCTATACTTTTTTTTGGATCTTAAAACAAGTAGTTTTAAGCTGCTTTAAATTCCGAAGCATCTCTTGCTTCCGATCGTGCAGTTGCAGCTACGGCTTGTGGATGCATCTTCTCGTTTTACATTGTAAAATGCAATTTAAATTTTATACTTTGAGATTATTACTTATTCTAGGATCTTCGGTCAACATCAAAAAATTCTAAGAAATTACTAATATTTCTTAAAAAGATGGAAATTTTAATATGTTACTCAATACAAACATATGAGGATAAAATTTGTATTATTCTTGATTTAAAGGTCTAATAATTTTCAAATCTATAAGAAAACACTCGATTAATTTTGAACGTCAATATAAACGTTTCGATCTTTTTTTTTTAATTTTGTGAATTTTATGTGATATGAAAATTATCTTTTTTTTTTTTTCATAATTCGCGAAAATACTTTATGCTAATGCCAGATATTAAATATTTCACTTTCATTTTACCTGGTAAAACGACACACGCCGACAAGCGGATGTGCGCGTGATCGGTTGCAGCGCATATTATTACCTCGTTATCCCAACATCGTCTGCAATATTCAATGACAATTATAGACTGATTGATTCTGCTACGACAATTAGCATCGACGATTCAAATGGAGATATTTCCTCACTAGCAAGTACTTCTTCTCGAGCTATCCAGTGAGACAGCGTAATGTCATCACTGACTTAAGATTTGTGAATTTTTTCTAGGGTTTATCGTTCTTTCAAACGAATACTGTTTGCATTCCACTTTATCATGCAACGTTGCAGGTAAATTCAGTCGATTCTCCTCCTTTCTTCTTCTCACGATTCCCTAGTTGAATAGATATCTGGAACATTTCTTTGAGAAAGGATCTGCGGAACCGATAATTCTTTGGATCTTACATCCAATTTGCATATTAAAGCATTCATGTATCTATAAAAACTTTTTAATCCCAGAATTGTCAGGTCTACGATTTACGATCTTTAGAACTCATAGACTCTCGAAATCACGGATATAGATAAGAAATTTTGTAAATCCAGATAGTCCGCTCATCCAAGGCTCATCTGTGTTGAGATTCAATTGGCTAATTGATTTTTTGATTTGTTGAGGTTCCGTTAGATCCGAAAATTATTGGACTACAGGATCTATGGTTCAATACCACAGAAAGTTATTTCTTCGAAACTCTATATGTCTTGGAATGTACATTCGAAGACCTGTGGATTCGAGAATCGGTGGCTTGAAAATATTGTGAGAATCGTGAAATTTGCTTATTAATAAACGATTCTCGAATTCAGTAACGCCCGATTCTAATATCCCACTAATACAATTTAGGATCTTGATATCGGATTTCAGGATCCGCAATCCTAGGAATCATCCTAATGTTAGGTTTCTCGGAGTTCGCCCTTTCCTTGGGATGTAGAGACTTCGTAGATATAATCATTTAGGCGTATGGATTTGCTAGCGAACAGTAATTTCTAATCGGTACATTTTAGCTGCATATAAGCATGCCGATGGTAAGAAAATAGACGGTCGCAGAGTATTAGTCGACGTCGAGCGAGCGAGAACAGTGAAGGGTTGGCTGCCTCGAAGACTCGGCGGTGGCTTAGGTGGTACTCGTAGAGGTGGCCCCGACGTCAACATCAAGCATTCAGGACGGGAAGATAATGAAAGAGAACGGGAGCGATATCGCTTGGAACGTGAGAGAGAAACCTCGGGACGTGGCCTGGATAGAGACAGGTGAGTAGCAAGGAATGAAGTAACAAAGTATCAAAAAATTATATGTATATAAAATTGATTGTTTAATCATTGTTTCAGAGATCGCGACCGTTTGGATAGAGAACGTCGCAGATCACGCGATCGTAAGCGAAGGACCAGGAGCAGATCACGCGAACGCAGACGCAGGCGAAGTCGCGACCGATTGCCGGATCCCGATATCGAAGAAATTGAACGGCCACGCGACAGAAGAGATCGCGATCGCGATCGCGATCGGGATCGTAAAAGACGGCGGTCACGAAGCAACGATCGCGATCGCGATAGGGATCGTAAGCGAGACAAGCGGGACAGGGATCGTGATCGTAGAGACAGAAAGGATCGCGGCGATCGTCAGGACGAGGATACGAAAGAGATACGTATTAAGGAAGAACCGTTGGATGGTAAGTTTGACAAAAAGAAATTTCGACATGTTTTGAAAAGATCGACGAAAGAGTGAATATGCGAATGTTAAATTATCTTTCAGATTATCCAGACTACAGCAATACGTTTGCGACGTCGGGTTCGTATTTTACTGCGGTAAAATACGAAGACGACAACGATCAGGAAGTGGAAGAGAAATACCGGATTCCGGAGGGTCGTCCCGATCCACCTCCATATAACAATTACGATTCCGTACAAGATTATTGATCTCAAACAGTACATGTTTCTCTATCGTATCCCTTTTTCACCATCGCTTTATTTTTATCGTTGCATTGTCTTTATTGCGAGCATAATACTAGCGAATTAGCTCTTTTAAGAGCGAATCAAGTTCGCTCTTCAATTATATAAAGTATTCAGACAACTATTATGAATGTCGCAAAACAATAACACAAGTTCTGTAAAATATTTAATTTCTATAGAATTTCTAAAATATGATAAATAGAAAAGAAATAATTTATATGATTACAATGAAAAATAAGAAGAGAAAAGATACGACATTTAGTAAATTAAATTTTGATATAAAAAGTTGAAAAAAAGTTGGATATATTGCTACATATGTTATGCAATATAAAAACGGCTGATAAATGATGTACAAACATGATCGCTAAAGATGAATGACATTCATTAAATTATTACGAGGAATTTACGAAAATTATATATACATGTAACTATTTATGCCGTTTTGGAATATATTCTCTACTTTTTTTTCTCTCTTATCCTCTTCCTATCATTGATAAGAATATATTTACAATAAAAAATCTATAACATTGTTTTTAATGAATTAAAGAGCAACTAATGAATTGTAGCAGATCATGTGAAACTTCACGATACAAAAAACATGAACTCGTAATTGATTGAGAGTACTACATTATTTAAACAATATAATTTAATAAATAATAAAGACAATGAATATAATTTAAGTATCGGTCATCTAAATACATGTGTATGTAATTGCACGCGCGCGTGCAACACACACACAAATATACATATACCCAAAATTTGACTCATGACTGCTATGTATATTAATATGTCAAGTAAAATAAAATGTGAAATTAACTTGTTACACATATCCTGTTTTTTGTTCTACACATAAAAAATTCCAAATATATTAATTTTCTAATTCAAAAGAGATTTGTCTTCCAAGTGTAATATAGAATGAAGGATAATGTCAGTTCGTGAAATGAAACGTATCTTGATTTTATACATTGCTCTGCAATTCTACCAATCGATTCGTACGTGCTTGATTGCTTGATATGCTAGAACGCCACGCAAGCATCAAACGATTTTGCAAACGAAACAAAAAGTGCGGTCGATTTAACGCGGTTTATTAAACGAATAAAATAGTAATGAAGAAATATAAAAATATTTCTTTTCTATTTTTTTCTCAAATATGATTTCTAATAAAAAGTCATTTATTATACTGTCATCGTTTATTAATTACTAACTAATAATCTTTATATTTGTATTTGTTCTTAATTAGAAATGTACAGTAAACGTTTTTGTTTCATGCGAAATAAGATGATTTTTTTCAGCTCGCTTATTTTTGATACTTTAAATATTTCTAAGATTATTGATTTTCGATATCCAATATTAATATGCTAAATTTAAGAGATTACAATACCTAATTATAAGCGACGACCTTTCATCACTAATTGAAACACCGTTTCTTCAACTAATACCCGTTGCGAGTTCTTTATATTCATTTTCGCGATATTCCTACTAACTGTTCGATATTTATGTACATTAGCAATTGCTTTCCGGAAATTGCAATCTCTCCCCTTCTCCCTTCTCATTCTTACTTCTCCATATACTTGTTGAAACTATGTACACCCTAATCTATCACATCATTTTTTAAAATCAGTGTGAGTACAGTAAATTGCTACTCTCTTCGACTCTGCGATATATGTGAGATGATTTCTTTTGATTATTTTCGATAGGATTGCCATCACATGATTTAGCAAGTCTTTTTTACGAAATGAGTCTACTTATTTGAATTTTTATATCTACGAGGAAGATTTGCAAATTTAAGGAAATTAAGAGTTAAATAATAATAGAATGTCATAAAATAAAAATTTACATCTCAAAAGTAAAAATTAATTTTTTATTAAAAAGTTATAATAAGTATTTGCAGAAAAAAGATGTTCTGTAAGTATTTTTATGATGAATATCTATTTTTCTTTTGAATATCTAGTTTCATACGCTGATGAAATGTTTCAGAGCGTACGTGAAGTGGATAGAATGTTTCGAGATAGTCCTGGAGATTTGATAAGCGAAATGGTTGATATTTAGTATTCTGGCGGTGGAAACAATCTATAGAGTAAAGTTTAAGTTGATATAATGCATCATGCTGATAGAGTTAGCCGAATGGACGAATGGATAGCAAGCTGTAGCATAGCAGATAGTGAATATATTATGTATGTAGAATATATGTGTTTATAAAGTCTGCACTTTTGTGGTTTCTATTTTCTTGAAATTTGTATTTATAATATGCAAAGTGAAGTAAAAATCGATATTAAGTATGCGGGGTATTTATATAAGTCTTTTATCTAACGTGTATTATCCCGGGAGAAATCTTCGAAGATGTATCACATACTCACATGAGAATCGAAAATAAATGAAACGAATTTACTCACATTATTATTCTGTCTCACTGTCAGATATGAGTCGAAATGAAATGTGCGATTATTTATGATCCCGGCGATTATTAAATTATAATTCCATAATCAATTAATATAAGATATAATTACGTGTCAATCATGCTTGTTCTGCAATATTTTTGTATATATTTTTGAAAATTGATTGAATAGAGGAGCATCCCGTTTGATTACATTGACGATCACAGCTACTCATAGCAATCAATGTTTAAAATTTTTCTCCATGGACCGATTGATCAGAAAATTTTACATTAAATTGATCAACTCACGATGTGGGCAATTAGATCCCACTCAATGAATAGTATTATTTATTCGAAACTGATAAAAGCAGATTTGAATAAAATTTCAAAAATACTCTCTTATTTCGAATATAATGTCGTCGGTTAGGTCAGCAAAATTCAGTAACTCCCTCGAGAGTTCTTGTTATGTCACTGTAGAATTTATTCGTATTTTTTGTTATGTCGAGCAAACAGGGGTATTTCCGGGAATTTATTATAATATTATGATATATATTATAATTAATAACTACTAATTGTTTACAACTAATTTACAAACTGTTGTTAGTTTTTATTACAAGACATATTTAGTGTAATCTTTTCTCAAATCACCTCATCCGAATCATATTTAAGTCGTGATACGTAATTTGTTCCGATTCAAGGTACATACATATACATAAGATTTTTTTCTGACTTGATTATTGAATTGCTTCTTCGAATTGCAAAAGGAAATTTAGTGTCTCAAGATAAATTTTATTTGACTTTTTTAAATTGCGATTACAAATGTTGACGTTATCAAATGTGACTCTTAAAATTCAACTATTTCTGCAGGATTAGTTTCAATTAAGTTTCAGTGTCAGCAGTGTCGAACTACATAACAGATGATCGTAATAAAGCAGTAATCTTTAACTTTTTTGAAATAGAAAACCATTTTCAGAATTAGATAAGATCTTCCAGGCCGCATAATGTTTATTTTGGTAGCGCAATAGAAAATATAATTTTATATTTTCGGCTATAAGTTCGGAGATTCGTAAAAAATTCACCTGTAGGTCGCGGGTTCAAAATTATTGGTACAAAATATTAACTAACAACTCATTATCTTCATATATTTATTGTATGAATTTATTAGAGAAGAAGGGAGGAAGGGGGGGGGGGAGAGTTTCTTTGTAACTCTTGTTTATATTTTACATACACTCGGTCATGTATGGTCACAATTTTGCTCATACTAATTGGTACCTTTTTTCAGCTTTTCGCTTGGTGAAGAATGGCAGGGTCACGAGGGCATATAACAGAAGTGTACGACGACCAGTACGGTTGGCGGCGGCGTCGCGTCGCGTCGCGTCGCGTCGGGGGGAGGGGGTTGAGAAAGGGAAGTTTCGCTGGGAAGGGATGGCAAGAGGTAAGCTGTGAGGCTGGGGTATAGGGAAAGCAGGGAAAGAGGGTGAGCGGTGAGCCGGCAGACCGGCAGGTAGCTGGAGGGTGGAGGGTGGAATGTGGGCGGCTGGTGCGCTCTCGACCGGGGGGTAGCGCGCACAGGAGGTGGCAGGCTCTGCTCTGGTGCGTCAGAGCCTGCAGTGAGCCCGGCAGTGAGGCGAAACGTTGGGCTCCGCGAGGGAGTCTCGTGGCCGCCCGTTTCTCTCGAGAGTCGCGGTGCCTTTTCCCACGAACCATAATTTACACACCACATCACGCTTCGCTGCCGCCCCTCCATCTCCTATCCGCCAAGCCCTCTTCCTTCAGTACCCCTCGTTTCGGCGCATCGTGAAATTTCATGCACATTTGCGGCTGTTTGTGGTAAAAGCGCGCCGGCATGCACGCACGACTTTCGCGGTAGGCAGTCCTCCTGAAATAATTTCGGTATAGAAATATTATGGTTAGACTGTGCGATAGTCACGGAGTTGACACGCCGCTTTTTCGGTGTTCTTTCGCGGTGAGAGGGTCGTCTCGCGGGGGTGTAGATACCCCCCTTCTCCCCCCTCCCCCCTCCCCCACCGTGGATGACACGCGCTAGATGCTGCAAAACCGGCTGGAAGACTTTAATGCTCCGATCGAACATCGAGCGATACCGGTCATCGTTCGAGATCATCTCATAAATGATTTTTTTTTCCTGTGTCAGGATATTATTAATTTGCGGATTGAAAGTCATAAGTGTGTGATTTTTATGATAAATTTTTTCAGATCTCTATGTGAAAATCGAGGAGTGTAAAGATTTTAATTTAATGTAATTTATTGTTTTATTTAAAATATTTTAGAGTTGACGGGCAATTTTAAAAACAATTTTATCTATCAAATTTATATGACATACTTAACTTGTGGACCGAGGATCATCACCACATATTTATAATACATATAGAATAGTAAGTTCAATACTTTTTTAAATTTAGATATCAGGATATTATTAGACACGCGAGGTTTGTGAAATAATAAATCTTTTGAATAAACAATGAATTTTTTTAGGATTCTGTATAAAGATCAAATGTGCGAAAAATGAATGACGTGAACTTCTTGATCGAAAAGATATTCAATATGTTGATGTTTTTAAAGAACTTGTTGAAAAAGAAATTGAAAGTCCGCTAGAGAAGCACAGTGTCTTTGAAATCGAAAGTTTACGAGGACTCCGATTGCGACTGCTCGTACGTGTGACTAATTCTAATGATCTTGAACGTTGACGATCTGTCTAATTTTTAATAATTCAATTATATTAAGCTTTAAAAGTTTATCCATACATGAAAATTGCATTTTCTTACTTTTATATTAAATTAAATGATATTTATTCTATATATTTGTGCTTTAACGTTAATATTAATACAGAATTCTCTCACGTTCTATTATTTTGATATAGAGTAACAGTCATTATTTGAAACTTACGTTATTTGAGCAATGTCTGATTAGTTATTAAAATTTTAATTTGTTAATCTTTATTAAATATATTGAATTGATGCTTGAATTAATTAATCATACAAATGTATGATAAATTAATTCAAGCGTGTTTAAATGAGTTAGTATCTTTAAACGGAGATTAATTTCAATTAGACTAATAACGCTGTTGACATTATGAATTTCTCTTTAAGATCTTTCCTCATATAAGTCTCGGTTTCAACGTATTTTAATTCACCTAATCTCGTCCGAATAATGACAAGGAGATTGAGATCGATTACGATAGGTCAAATTCGTCTACCAAACTTCATAGGATAACATGGGTTCGATGCGGAGGGATGCCGCGTGTGTTTCCCTTGTCGGCGAGCTCTCTCACGCACCGCCAATGCGGCTGAGATCGCGCAATCCCATTGGCTGCTCCCGTGCCGTGGTGTCGGCGATGGGTACATCCAGGTTCGACGCTCGTGTTCGACCGAGGTGTGCGCGCGTAGATTCTCGCATTTCCCTGCGAGGAGCGTTCAACCAGTTAGGTCAGGCAGG